AAAATATGTTTTAAGCAATAAAAACGAAATAATGATAATGAGAGATATAAATACAGATTGGCTGCAACTTAAGAGACATATGCAGATCTCTAGTAGAGAGACAACCTTTATGTTGCTTAAATTACAGAGAGTAAAAGAAATGATACATAGGATCGACCTGAAGAAAAAAAAAAAACCATCATGTGTGGGAAATTCACACATGACATACAAGTAGTTGCCACCTGGTTAATGAAAAGCAGATTAGACATCAAACTTGATTGGGTTCACTAATCATTAGAGTGATGGGTTAATTTACATCCTCCCCGCATCCTGTTAATGCAAAAGATGTGATGTGTTAACATCCTTAATATATTGTCATTTACGTCTATAAATCTTACACTTGGCTCCTCTATAAACCCTACATTTGTGGCAATATCAGGCAGAGAATATATATCAACCTAGTGGCTAATAGATAAACATTTCCTGTAGCATATGGTCGCTGAAGTTTAAATCAAGATTAAATCAGTCAGTTAATTGAAAGCATAATGTGGTAATATAATACAGATATTTTATTTATTCATTTTCCTGCAAGTTAATTCTAGCACCTATTCATTGATATCACTTACCATCTGCAGCTATAGGCAGCCCCTCGACATTTAACGGCACCCTTTCAAAAGAGAAGAGATGCACTTAAAAATTCACCAGCGATCGAGTCGGTTAACTTACTGCCTTATCAGTGTCGAGTATATACAGCGAGTAGGGAACTCTAAACTCCAATATTTTTCGTGCCGATAACACTCTTTTGTTTGGATGGCGATTACACAGAAAAAAAGAGTAATCTTTAACCTTTATATTACAACCCAAAGATAGACAAGACAAAGACAGAAAATTTACATATGTTGCAACTATCCTCCAGATAGTTATTATAAGCTTCTGCATGATTTCCTAATATCCTGCAGTCTTTCAAGTACCTTTGTTTAACTAACAAAAAAAGACTCATATCAGAGCTTTAAGAACATGGAATACCAATAAATGTTAAGCTGGAAGCCAGTGGATGGGACTCATTGAACCACATGTGCAGAGTTAAAGGCATACTGTGAGGCACTCAAGGGGCAAGGTCACCAACTGTAGTTTTTGCCTGAAATAAAAATCACTTTAGGCTCCTAAGGAAAGCCAGATGCTTTGATTTCAAGCACAGATGTTATGCACAAGAATATGGGGGCAATAACATTTAAAGCCCTGTTTTCTTTTCAGACAAACCCAACAGTGCCCACAGAAAACTTGTGCTTCTAATTAGTCAACCCCACACTACTGCTCCCCCATAGAGACTCTGAGATAAAGAGAGAGGCAAAATATCAGGAGGAGGACACTATCATCAATTTAGCTCTCATCGTTAAAAACAATCCACCTAAGTTGGAATAAATAAAAAATGGATATGTTTATCGGCACATTTACCCTGAAAAGTACATTGGTGAGCAGTTTGGAAGCAAAGAGGGGAAATCAAAAGGGTGCCTGACTCCTCATGCATTGGAGATGAGTCTCGCATGGAGAAGATTCCAAGTTTGGCAGATGTTAAGAGCCACAAAATGGCTCATTACTGGGACAGAAAAAGGCACAAGATAAAGCAACAGGCTCCGTGGAGGCTTGAAACAGAATGACAAAGGTCGACACAGTTGAAGACGACAGAAAAATCTAACATTTCACTTTGCATTAAACTTATATTCTGAGAGAATAACTGATAAGATGGAGAGGTTTAAAATGAAAACATTCCTTCATTTTTTTCCAGCCTGCTCTTGTTTTAGATAATGGGGCATAATGGGAGGTTGATGGTAAGAGAGGGTTTTCTTTTGAGGCTTATAAAGGGTTAAGGTATAGTGGAGGATTTTCGTGAATTTTAAAAAAGACCCACCCTCTCCAATTAAAAATAAATGCACATGCACAACCCTGCACCCGTTCAGGAAAGGGAACGCCTATTAAATGCGTGCGAGAGCATGCACCAGCCCATATCTCCTCATGCAAGCTCTGTTTAAAAGTTGCTGTTTTCATCGATCATAAAAGCTTACTTTCCAAAAGAAGATTTGCACATTTTCAACTTTGTCAGACTCCCCACCGGTAACTGAAAATACGAGCACATAGGACAGCCTTACGTAAACATATCACCAGAATGATTGACAGCTAGGAGGAACACTTATTTTGATGATCCAACCGGAAAATGAAAATCTCCCACTATACCTTTAACTTCATTGCGCAGACATGATGCCAAGCTACACAAAAAAATGCTAGATTAATTAAATTGGAAATGCAAAAGAAGGGTGCATACAGTTATAAAGATTCAGAGAATTCAAGAAAAATACATATTTAATTAAAATCCAAGCATTATTCCTCCTGCGACTGATATCAGAAAAGCTGTTTTCCTCTTTCTGACAGGACGCACACACAAACACACCAATGTCTGCTCGGGAGGCTGCCGGTATTATCACAAAGCTCTAACCAAAGCTCGGGGAAAAAGCCTACTCTCTACCCCCCCTAACTTCCAGTTCCGCTGCACGGTGCGCCTCTCGCTGTGGAAACAAACTACTGTAGCCAAGGTTATCGAATGGGGGCGAGTCGATAATGTTGTATCACAAAAACTGTTTTCAGCTACAGCAAACATGTGGGACAGTTGGGGACAAGCCAGTGCATCGTTCTCCCGCTTCATGGAAAAATTAAGACCCGCAAATACCTGCACCAATTAAAGGCATCACTTCAATGAACATCAATCTATTCATCACCTCCTCAAAGCAGAGAGCAGAGGGTTTTATGGGAATATCAATAGTTTATGCTTTTGGAACAAAAGGACGCAGCAAATCAAAGGCACAGACAGATTTGGATTGAAAAACAGATGTTTGTTTTGTTTGATTTAGCTAACAGCATGTTTCACATCCCACATCCCTCTGCTGGATTTTGAAAAGCAGTCCATTGATTTAAATCTATGCAGAAGTCAAGAGAAATGCATCAAGTGTGGCAACAGCATTGACTAAGAACAAGCCGTTGAAAGATGCAGCAATTTAAAGTTAAAAGATTGAAAAAAATATTTGGAAACACCTGATTGATTATCTGACATTCCTAGACGTGAACCTCCGTCTGCTGAAGTTGTTGCTTTAGCTTTGGTCTGAAAAAAAAATAAAATAACACTGCTTCCTTAGGAGCTTTAAGGCAACAATTACAAAACGAACCCCCAATGAGCAATCAGAAACATTCAAATCAACCACCAACAGGACGTCTTAAATGAACCTTTTACATAACTACAGTCATATATTTTCCTGTTAGAAAATAAAAATCTTTCTAAAAGATGTTAAAAAGTTTAACCAAAATAACTTGCTTAAATTGAAAACTTTTTAATGATCAATTTTACAACTTAAGACCTTTAAATAAAAGGACCTCAGGCCTTTATTTTTCAGATGAAACGGGCAACTCTAGTATGTATGTGCGTAGGTTGCTGAACTTTAACACCTTCTTTCAGTATAAAGTCATAATAACTTTTGATATAAAGTTAAAAAAAAAAAACACTTTTGAAGACAAATAATGGAGGCTTTGACTTTTATTCTAAATAAATCTTACAAGCAGACACTTAAGACATCAGACTGGATATGTAATTTAATACATTGTACAGAAATTTTAGCCTAAAGCCAGGATTTATGATTTTATTTATTAAATACTTTGGCAGTTTAATGCCCGGGAGCAACAACACATTATGCATTGCACCTCATTGTCAATTTATTTTAACAATAAGGGTACAATTTCTATTCTGAATTACAGATACACCACTTCTTCACTAGCAGGTCAAATATTGATATTTTGTTCTTTCAAAGCATGAAAACAAATCCTTTGCACCATTTTTCATCTTAAAACCAAAAGCATGCGCTCTGCTTGAATAAAAAAATCTGATAAATGAAGGAGACATGAGCTGTTTAGCATAAAGTCAAAAGGCCCTGAAGCTGTAGTTTATTTTATTTTGGCTTTATAACCCTAATCAGAGAACCTGCAGCAAAAAAACAATCTGCAGGTAAGACTTTGAAAGAAAATTCCTGATCAGTATCAGCCTGGTCGGTGCACCTCTAGTCTGGGTCCTTATATCTGAACAAGAATGATTTATCATTTTATATAAGAACAGCCCATTTTAAGAGCCTTTTAATCTTGGTTACTTACAGTTTTCCTTTTTAGTTGGGGTGAATTTCATATATACCCCTAAAACTAACCATATAATCAAGTTTTTTTCTCGACAATTGATGGCTATGAGATAATCAAGTTTAAACATATATGATTAAATGTAAAGATTTTTTATCAATTAAGCGGCATGTTTTATTATCTAGTAGACTGAGTGTATTTAATAATTGCCAGGCTTAATTATTAGAAAGGGTTTGATGAAGTGTGTAGTTCTGTATATATGTAGCATTACAAAAAAAATGGAATTAATTTGCTATTTCCGTTTTTATCATAAGGTTTCTTAATTGTTTTTGCAAACAAAAGATTGCGAAAGTGTTGAGGGGGGAAAAAACAGGTCTATCAGGTTAAAGCTGTCCGTTTAAAGTAGTCCCTAACGGAACATTTATTTTTTTCCTTGTCATCGCCCTTTTATATTCATTTTTTAATGCAGATACCACACTGAATAAAATAACATGCACCAATAACACATTTCTATTGATAGTGCGTTACTTTCTGGTACAAATGGGTTTACTGTGCGCGTGCGAATCTGTATTTTTAAACAACTTTGTATAAATCTGAAAAAAATAAAAATAAAAAAAGGTTGCACTTTCTAAAATAAATGAGGCGGGCGGTTTAGAGCCTTTTATGTTTGGAATTAATGATCTTTAAAGTCCCAGCACTGACGCTCAGTCTCACAGAGAAACACAAAGGAGTTTGCCTTTGAGAAACTAAGGGGAGTCTAAGAGCAGAAATTCAACATAATCCAGCTAACGTGTGATTTAGCTGAATAGAAAAGATAAAACAATGAAAGAAACCTGTCCGACTTCAGCACTCACCTGATGGAGAAGTAGTTAGTTCAATGGTCAGAGCTCAGCTGGTATCATGTCGTTTAAAGTTGCGCCTACTTTCGAGCCGAGAGAAAGGTGCTTTAAATTAAACAAAATAATAATAATCTCAGCCAGTCTTTATCTCTTCACCGAAAAGCCGCTTCTCCTGAGCTCGACGACTCCACACGGACTTCCAGTTTCCAGCTCCGTTACACACATCTAGCCGAAGAGCTAGCCTGCTAGCTGCTGCTGGCATAAACACTTGGCTTTGTGGGGGCTCTTAACTCTTCATTTTCCGGAGCTTTTTTTCGCCCCCCCGACTGGACCGAAAGGTCTCTCTCTTCACAGGGGACGGAAGCGGACGTGTCGTATATGTACGCCCATTTCTGCCTGCTTATCAATAGTCCGCTCTATGGTCCCACAGTTCGCTTCTTTTTTCCCCCCTTCTCTCAGATAGCTGCTCACTCCCCCTCAACACACCACAATGGGTTCTGTGCCGACTCTTTTCAACACAAGCCTCTTTATGCGTTACGACGTCCGACGTCCCTTTGCGACAGTGGTTGCTTAGCGACGGGTTTGAATCTATTTTTCTCGAGCCCCTCTGTGTATCATTTGTTCTGTTTCTCTCTTTAAGAAGCATTTTATTGAAAACTGAAACATCAAATGAAATTAACCTCTATTTGGGTTTTAAACTTATTAAGTAATTTGCTCTTAAAAAGCAAAAATTAAGAACAAAATGTGCTTTTAAGAACCTAGACTGGTCATTGAACATACGGGGGGGGAAATAAGCTAAATAAAAAAATATATATTTTTTCCAAATATGTTGAATTCTGTGCAAAATTATTTATTATTTCTGAAAATAAAGGGGTGAAAAATACCCCCTCACACAAACTTTTATAAAGACAGTCACTAAGGAAATAACATAGGGCCTGTATATGGAAAATTAAGCAACAATCATTCATCTTTATAAAGTGTTGAACTGATCATGGCTTCCTACTATGTTTTTTTTTTTTCTTTAACCTCCTGACCTGAATAACTAAATAAAAACAACAGGTCATAAACGAATACGAAGAAAATTAAATTAGTTTTTATTTTCTCTGTATGTCTAAAATAAAACAATTAAAATCTATTTATATCTATACAAATACACTGTTTTTTCCATTACTTGCATTCATTATTTTATTCATAGTTCTTGATTTTGAAAAGGAAAATGCGATACCCAAATTCACTTGATCTTTTAAATATATTTGTGACTTATGTTGCTTTTATGTATTATCTTAGCAAAAGCCTTTAACGCGTTTATTATGAAGGAGCAGTGCGCAGGATTCTGGTGGCAGTATTAGTTTGTCTACTTCGCCCTCTGCTGGAGAAAAAAAAAACATAAACAAAACCCTTTTCTCACAGTTGGAAGCGCTTTAAAATGCTTAGAATGCAAATAGAAACCATACTGTCTAAAATACTCATACATAATGCAAAAAAATAATAAAAAAAAATGCTAGAAATTAAAAAGAATACGAAAGTAAATACAAATACCACAAACAAAGAATCATTAGAGAAATTAATTGCACTTTTAAATCAAAGTTAAATACAAATGTGGGGGCAAATTTACCATAATATAAAGTTATTCTGCATAATTAGATTAGTTAAAAATACAAGTGATACGTTCAAGCAGGTTAAAAAAATACTAAATATGCAACGACATTTTAGGACAATCAGCACTTAGCAGCTTCATTGTTATACCTCGAAATGAAATAAGAATTTACGAGTTTCCTGAAAGGCATCACGGACGCACTTGATGCGGATGTTGCAGCGGCTTCTTAGAAGAGAAGAGTTTGACTTTAAAAGTGTGAAGATGTCCAAAACTATTAAGGAACGACAAGATAACTCTGCACTGTTTGTTCTCTCTGCAGTGGCTTTAGCCTTGATTACAATTCTTACCGTTTGGAGGTTAAAACAATTTAAATACAGAGTGATAAATGAAACTGGGGGTGCAATGTTTTACGGTAAGTAACCTCAGGGAAACTGCTGCGCCAACACTTCCTGGACTTCATTTGCAATCAGTATATGCCATGTTTTAACAGGAAACAGTTAGGATGTTACAGATGCATCTTAATTAAGTAGAAAATAATAATAATAATAATGCACGAACATTTAAAGGGTGCATATAGAGTTATTGTCTGTATACCGTTTTGTTTCAAGTGATTATAGCTTACAGTAAGGAAGATTTATACAACTCATCTTCTTAGAAAATTTATATTTTGATTTAGATTTTTAATAGATATTTAGATGTGTTTTGCTGTGATCATGTTATGGTCTATAATCATTGAGAAGACCCCCCCACAGACAGGGTTTTTTACAAATTAATCAACAGCATCTTTTTATGTTGAGGTTGTTGTTTTAATCCTTCCCACAATACATCTTTTAATTTCGGTCAATATGATGTAATTCTGATAGTGAAATCAAGTCCCAGTAAAACTACTTAAAAATCCCACAATAAATTACTTTAAAAAATAAGAATTTTGAGATGTTTAGAAAACCCTCTAATATAACATTGTGATAGTATTGGCTTAAAAAAAAAAGGAAAAAAAAAAACAAATAACAACAATATAAAAGCAGGAAAGTCAGTCAGTGACAAATGCTGTGATCAATATATATTAAAATATGTGAAAAGTCTTATCAGAGTCATTGCATAAAATCATATTATGATACCTTTATATATTAATGCTGGGTTATTAAATTAAATAATTGCGTTGTATTTTTGATATATTTTGCAACCCTGCTGTCAGACTATTCATAAAGCATAAGTATAAGTAAACAATTTTGCCTTAAACCTAAATTGCGATTATTTTTCAACTAATATCGTAATTTCGATTTTATTGCGATTTGCTTTTGCACTGATTGCAAGCATGTAAATGTTTCAATCTTGGGATTCAGTTTTGCATGACCTTGAAAGCAGGATTTTAAACTTTTCCATGAAAAAGTTCTTACATCTGGTATCATGCATGTAACTATGTGCAAGCTGCAACTGTCTGTTCTATTCTTTGTGACAGCAAACCAGCTTTAAAGGTATAAGAGCCATTTAAAAAGCTGGAGTGAGAATTTTAGTGTCTTAATCTTGTTAAATATAACGTGACTAAAATTCAGTGCATCTGCGATAAAAAAAATTTGCAAAAGGCTTTTGCTAAATTGCGATTATAATGCAACTGCAATTAATTGCCTAAATCTTCCCTGTTGTGATATAAGGATATCTTTATTGTAAATAAGTGTTTGGACCTCATTAAATACTAGGTATTTACTATACTATTAGTAATACTGACTGCATGTGTGCAATGCATTCGTACTTGGTATGGCATTAATACATCATTTGATGCTGCTGTGTAAAGTAGCAGGAAATACTTTAAGGGGTCATTAAGATTTTTCAATAATGAGGTTAGGATGCTGTATTACCATATAATTAACAATTTGTTTTTCTGTCAATTTTCTTTCTAATAAAACCAAATGTTTGGAATGTGTAATGTATTAATGAGTTTATTTATTCTTTTTTGAAATATCTACATCAGTTACTTCCTATTTTCAGGTCACCGTTGGCAACAAACCCAAAGCTGAAAAGCATGAACACTGTAGAATTAAGTCTTTATTTGCTTTATTTAAGGCAGATCATCATAACTATGCTCGCCAATGTAATAACATGTTTTTCCTTTAATAGTGTCTCTCTTATTAGCATGCAGTGTAAAGAAAAACATGAAATAAAACATTAATCCATGCTTCCATTTATTGCATTTTTTATTTAACTGAACTTGATCACATTCTGCAAGCATCCATTTGGAATCTCTTTGCAGGTGTCTTCCTGGGTTTAGCCGTCAAGTACTTATGGCTGGATGGAGAGGAGCATTTGGAGAACATGGCCGACGTGTGCTCTTGCCATGGTCTGAACAGCACTCCTCGTGTCATAATGGTCAACACCTCATCCCAAGGGCACTGCTACGCACGTATCAGAAAGATGGGCCAGAGATGCTCGCAGCTCTCAAGTACTCACACGGTAACTATGGCAATTTATTTTGACCTTCAGCGCAGATGCAAGGCAAAGCAAAGCTTTTACACCAGCTTTTGTTTGCTGTGGGATTAGTACAACTAGAAGTAGTGTGTCCTATAAACTCAATGGCTTTGAAAAGACTTTAATTAGCAAATGCAGCTAGAATGTTTGAAGCATTCTGGATGAACCCTGAGTATTTTCATCAACAGGATTCTCTAATAGCTCCATGTTATTAGTCTTCCGGGTCATTTTCATGGTCTGTTTGTTAGAATAGGCACGGCAGCACATCTGAAGAAAGGAAGAAAGAGCTATTCAACCCATATAAAGAATTAGAAGGTGACAAACATAGAAGATTGCATTTTTCACATGTTTAATAAGGACACTCAAGCGAAGCCGCTTATTTTACACAAATCCAGTTCCTTTAAAAGGTTTTTAGATTGAGACATGCAGGAACGAAAACATCAGGCTCTTTAGATGCATCAATTAGCCTCCTTGAAAATGCCTACTAAGGATGATTTCCTAGTTTGTTGTCTTTATTCCTATAATGAGATAGTTTTGCAAGGGGATGTTTGTGGCAGATTGCACTGCACTGCAGAAAAATAGAGAGGAAGTAGTCTCAGCAGACACTGCAGGCTTTTTCCTCTTGGATAGCTACCTTGCACTTCAACCTGTGGCACAGAGCGCAGTAATGAATGTGAATTGCTGCCATCTTTTTTAGACTGACAGCCTTTATTATAACGCAGACACTAAAGCTTACAGCGATGTGTACAGTTTATGGTAATTGTAGCCTTGAAGAGATTTATAGCTGATGATGATTTAGAGAGGTGGAAATGGAGGTTATTATTTCAAATTACAAAGACAACAGAGAGATGGAAGATTTTGTGTAAGAATATGCGCTGTCATTGTTTTCCTATGGGCTCCATTAAGGAGCTGGCCTTTGAAAATGCTGAGTATAACGTGTTTGCTTTTACAGAAACATTTTTGTAAGCTACATCTTAAGCCTGTGTTTTTGCTCAAAGCTCATGCTGAAGCCAAAACTTGGAGGCCCACACTGTATAACCTAATCCTTGCAAAATGTGTTACTGTTTATGGGATTTAGAAGATTCTGGCTAACAGCTAATGAAATGCCTTAAATTTAGTTTAAGGAATGTATTTTTGTTGCAGAAATGTTATGTTACGGCCTGCTCAACCATGGGGAGAGCTGCTAGTTTTACAGATGTCTACCAAACTGTAACTGACAGCCTACATGATGAGGGAAAGATACACAAGTTCATTGCCAGATGAGCTAGAAATTCACCGAAAACTATTTCAAAGGATATTCACGGAAAGCTGAATGGATGGGGGGAAAAAATTTGTGGTAGAAAAATTGATGAAAGCAGCAAGGATAAATGCAGCATAAGAAAATTGTGAAGCCATGTACATCTTAGAGTGTGGGGGAGATTCAAAGGCTTGAACTGTGGTTGGACCAGTGCTTCAGCAGCACCCATCCACACACGCACACATGCACACATCCAGATACCTTGTTTTCAGCCACTCCCGAACCACAGAAAACATCAGAAGCATTCTACTTCTCTGGAGTGGGTTTCACTCACATCTCCTTTTAAAACCTTGTGATTAACGTTCATACGTCTTCTGCCTTTAGTTATACCTTCCAGCTATTTTGGTGAGGGGAGATCGTGACACTGCCTACCAAGAAGAAAAATTGTTTTGAGGTGGTGTTTAATGTGCAGCTGCAACATTTCAGTCTAGCGAATTTGCTCTTAGAGTTTAATCGCCGGCTCAGAATTACTTACCATTCAGTTTGCTGTTTGTGTTGAAATATTGAATACTCAGTCTTTTCTTAGGGAGAAAAACACAAACATTTCATTAGATCAGCAAAAATATCAAATCTTTAAAAAAGGATCTAAAAAGAATGCATTTCTTTAAAAAAAAAGATTAATAACTGTACATGTCGGAAAAACAGCAACCTTTTAAAAATCAAGGAGGACATTCTTAATGCTGTTTTATGAATGCCTTTATTAATCTGTCACTATTTTCAATATGCTGCACAATGGTGCAGTGGGTGGCACTGCTGCCCTGCATCAAGAAGGTTCTTGGTTCGATTCCCAGCCTGGGGTCTTTCTGTATGGGGTTTGCATGTTCTCCCTGTGAATGCGTAGGTTCTCTCCGGGTACTCCAGCTTCCTCCCACAGTCCAAAAACATGACTGTTAGGTTAATTGGTTTCTCTAAATTCTCCTTAGGTGTGAATGTGTGCGTAAATGGTTGTTTGTCCTCTTTGTCTTTGTGATGCCCTGCCATAGACTGGCTACCTGTCCAGGGTGTACCCCACCTTTCGCCCATTGACAGCTTGAGATATGCACCAGCACTCGTTGCGACCCCAGCTGGGATAAATTGGGATGTATAGATACTTCCAATATTATAGTCTGCCAGAACAGCTTTATCTCTGTGAAACTGAACCAGATAGTCCATGATCATACCAGACCAGCAGAATGACCCTTTAACCTCAAACTTCTTTTGTGCGAATTGTACAACTGCAATTGACTATGGTCAGGAAAGCCACCATGACCATAGAAGATCCTTTTCATCCCCTCCATCACTCATTATATATATTTAAATATAGGTTAAATGGAAACCACTTAGATGTGCATATTTTTCTTACCTCACTCATTCACTCCAGACCTGCATGTGGAGTGCATTTGGACATTCGTTGATTAATCTAAGAGGGATATTTTAAACCCAGAAGGGGCTTGTTGCGGACCTTACAAATCATCCAGACCCAGTGAAACTCTTCTCTAATGGCTTCGACTCCTTTGCCCGTTATGAATGCCGAGGTCTCATTAGCAAACCAGCAGAGGCTACCACAGAGGCCATTACATCGGTCAGACCGTGTGTAGCCTTCGAGCCATTAGGCTTGATACATATGGGGGAGCTAGCAGAGAGAGATAAGGATTTCATTGCATTACTGAGTCCATTATGTGCCACTAGGGAGAAAAGCATTAAAGTTTGTGGTCTGATTAAATTTAGCACTGCTCAGCTGAAGAGGCAATTAGTGTATACAGCGCACCTCCATCCACAACTTTGTGGTGCAGGTGGCCCTTAGAATAAAACTGCCAGGATATGCATAATTTGCTCGTTGCAGTAGCCCTTGTTGTTTTTGTTTTTTTTTTCTTTCGTCATGCTCATTTGTTATTGTTTGTTTTTTTTTTTTAAATGCATAGATGCTATGCTTTGTTGTTGATTGCGGCTGCATTAAAAAAGTCATTTATACAGTGGTGGGTTATTGTTGCAGAGCAATCTGTAGATTTAGCTACCTCCTCAAATGCGGAATTACTCATAGTGAAGACTGGGTTCTGTAGTGGAGTCTCCAACATTTGGATTGATTCTGTAATTCAGATAAACATGCAAGTAATTCACCTCTGGTAAATATTCATTAGAGTGCCTGCATGTCCTAGAAATAGAACATTAGCAGAGGCTTTCATTTATCCATATTTTTTCATGGTCTTCAGGCTGCTATTGGTGCTTTTCTAAAGGCAGCTTTCGGTTGTTTTTTTTAACAGATCTCATTATTTGGACAGAAAGTTTGACAGTGCACAAATGCATTCTTTGATCATTTATCTTTTTATAGATAAAACCGTAAGGTTGCCACTGTTTTTCCTTTTTTTATACAAGGCTAACCACAACACAAATTAAAGGCATTCAGGGGTGAAATTGCACATGGAATGCCGCCTTACAGATTGGCTTGTATTGCATCTCATTGGCAGGGATGAGAAACATTCAAAGAAAGGGGATATAAATACAGAAATGCCTCACACTGTTTGTGCTGTTTGTGTTGCAGGTAATTTGCAGCATGGATTTTGTTGTTATTTATGGCGCAGCTCAGCCATAATGGTGGTACTTCCTCATACCTCTATGTTCTAGAAGCTTCATGGATACGGACAGCTATAATTTTCATTTCACATTGTGCTTTTAATTAACCCCAGTATTCATTGACAGCATGCTGAATCAGTACAATGTTATAAAATCACTAAGTGCAGGAGAGCTCTGAGGCAGCTTACACCATCAATTCCAGGCTTTGGCAACTAGTCGTTTCATTCTAGCACTCTAATCTAAGTATCTTTCGTATGTAGTCTTTTTTTTTACTCTTAATCAATTTCACATATGTTTTTATTTATTAGAATAGAGTAAACCCTATCACAACCTTCTCAAATTCTTCAGCACATTGAATAATACAGACAGCCCAGTTTTACTAAAGCCTTACTGTTAGTGTAAAAGAATGATTTGCCGTTTTTACAAAGAATCACTCTGAAGCCTGAGCACTCCGCTTTCACTTGAGTGATCGCTGTAAATCCCTCCCACCTGAAAAAGCACACAGTCTCTGTATACTTCTTAGGATTCAGGATTTATTTAAAATCTGTGTAAAAAATAGAATCAAATCAAGAATTAAATGAATTATTAAACAGCCAACTTATACTTACCTACTGTCTAAAGCTAAAGATAGAATAAATTGTAACAAAATCTAATAATCATCAGTTTAGCACAGGGGTCTTCAACATTTTCCAGGCCAAGGACCCCCAAACTGATGACAAGATGGAGCGGGGACCCCCTAATTATATATATTGTATGAAATTGTGTTATATCAACCTGGTCCTATAGTCACTCTATTACATATGAAGTAATATAACGAAAGTAATTTCTCCCTGGGATTATTAAAGTATTTCTGATTCTGATTCCTGGTTGATGGGACAGGTGTTGTGAATGAAACGGTGCCCAGCCTGAAAGAGCTCCTGTGTGTCGCTGAATATGTGCATTGATGACTGAAAGACATCTTTTGCCTGCATTTATCTGTTTACTACAGTGTGTTGAATTCATGTTAATGTGGATTTAAAGACATTTCAATTCAGCAGGGAATATAAAAAAAAAAAAAAATGAATCAACCAAAAGTTTCGCGACCCCCATGCAGTACCTCCGCGGACCCCCTAGGGGTCACGGACCCCCTGTTGAAGGCCTCTGGTTTAGCACATTTGGCACATCTGTATTTTTATGCTCCATTAACACATTCATTAATTGTGATGGATTTGTATAATATGTTATATTACATGATTTAGAGACTTAATTGACTTCATAATGACTATGCAATGTGATGTGCCTATTTTTTTAGTATACATATGCTGTGAAACAGCAAGTGTTTGTCAAATTGAATTTATCTTTTTTAAAAGTCTTAAGTCAATATGTCCTGTAGAGAACATATTGTTTACATTGCAATTGGTCTAACTAGGGAGTACCAATATGGTGGCCGGTGGTTTAACTTTAATCCTGTACTGCCAACAGGCAATTAGCAATCCAGTGAATAAATAGAGATCAGTGGCTCAAACTCCTTGTTTCTCAGCCCAGAAATCTAACTGTTCTAGAAAAGATCTGTGTGGAGGAGTGGGACAAAATCCCTCCTGCAGTGTGTGCAAACCTGGTGGAAAAACTACAGGAAACGTCTGACCTCTGTAATCGCAAAGAAGTAGTGCTTTCCATATAGAAATGGCGACAACGCTGAAATGTTCTCATTTTAAAACACAAAGGTTTTTTTTTAAAGCAAATAAACCAGAAATGCTTATTGCAAAGTGCAACATTGGCTTTTGAAAACAACAAAAATGTACCACTTCTGTGTCCAAGTTAAATTATATATGTGTAGATCTGTGGGCAGAATGCATCTGCAGCACCATCCAGTCATTAGCGTGACTGATGGGAGAGTCTCTGCACAAACGTGATTGGTCAGCCAAACAGTCGTTTCCAGGATTTATGGCAGAGTTGTTACTAATTGGAAAGGTTTTGTAAACTTAATAGTTCCAATTCTGGATTAGAAAAAAACTGTTGGTCACTTATATGAATTGAAAAACAACTTAAAACTAAATTGTTGGTTAAGCTAAGAATACATTTAAAACAATAAAGCAATCTTATGGAAACTTTGAATAAATTTTACACAGTATACGCAGAATGTCAAATGTGGACAAGTAGAACAATCTTATTAGGGTAGCAGCATTAGCAGAAACACCCATGCATTCCTCTCCAAAACCCATGTTTTCCAGGGGCCAGAAATAGTCTGTCCAGTGTGTGTCCTTGGCTGTCCCCCTGGGTCTCCTTCTGGTCCCTAAAACATCTCCTGACTGAGCTGACTCCTCTCACTGTGAAGGAGCAGCAGCTCTACTAAATGCCCCCCGCAGAGGACCAAACTCCTTCTCTGAGAGATCTCCTGGAAACCCTATAGAAAAGCTCACTTCACCTTCTTGGATTTCTTTTCTTTCTGTCATGTTCCAAATTTTTTAGCTCTAGTAGCTTAATCCTAACATAAATTTATCTAAAATGAACCTGTCAACCCACGCATGCATTCAGTTTATTGAAAAACAAAAAAATAAAGCCTTCACACTCTTCATCCAGTCAATAATTAGTGTATGAATTTATGGTTAACTATAAATAATTTCAAAATGTTGGTTTCTAAGTCAACAAAAATATGATGGAAAAAAAACACTTTTGTGAAAACACTTCAGTCATATGGGCAGATAAATCAAATAAAGCTTGAAGACTCACAAAATTGTACAATTCTGAAATACTGGCGGGAAAACGGAGAGGATGGAAGTTTCTCTATATGTTGTAGTTAACATCTAAAGTGTGAATGTTTGGTTAGAAAGGCATCCAGGAGAGAAACATGCCAGCGCAGCAACAGCCCAAAATGTACCGATAATAGCATTTAGGGGAAAAAAATAGGACAAATCTTAAATGGCGTCATGAGTCCAGATGCCAATTCAATGCATAATTGGTATATATATATTTAAATACATATATGTGTGTACTGCCATGTCACTCTTTATGCTTCTGTTAGCAGCAGATGTCCCTGTAATATATACCTATGCTATATACATATATGTCTAAATATATATAAAACATCTAACTGAATCAATTGTCCAGTAAATAAAGTTACTCTTTTTTCAGGCTACGCTTGATCCAGAGGTCCTTTTCAATCTTTTCCTGCCACCAATCATCTTCTTTGGGGCTTACACCCTGAATCAGGTGTGACAACTCTAGAAAACTTTTAAAAAAAAACTTTGAAAACATGCTGCTTTTCTAACAACAGCTGCTTTTTGATTCATGTTCTAGAGACGATTCATTGATAATCTGGGCTCTGTTTTAACCTATGCCTTTCTGGGAACGGTGATCAGCTGCTTTTGCATAGGGTAAGTTTTTTCTTTCTTTTTTTCATTCAGACTAATACACACCACAAAACAATACCTCTAAAATCTGTATCTCAGTTCTAAAACTGATTCAAAAAGTACATTAGATTCTGTCTGTCTTTATAAGTGTGAAAATATGTGGTTTCTGCAGGAATTCAGTTGTCACTGCATTGATTAGCAACCTGTGGTCAGGTAGCTGCTTTTTAAAGCAACTGGTTTGTAGGTTAGCTAGTTTTTTAAATCTATTTAAGACAATCACACACCTTAGGGCGTGTTCCCTGTGTAATACATTAAGATTAGCAGTTGGTCCCTGACCGAATTGTTTAACTGCTGGTCCAAGACCAGATTAGCTTTAAAATAATAAAAGGAAAGATTAATGCTTCAATAAATTATATCTTTTGCCGCTGGTTTGTCTGTAACCGTGAAGATGACATTGCAGATTATTTTATATTCCCCCCTTCAAAGTAAAAGAAAGACAAAAAGTGGTTTATATAATACAAATAAGAATAGAAAACACACATAAAATAATAGGTTCAATCAGTACATGGTTAACATCCGACAGCACAAAGTGTTGTAAAAGGCAGTTTAGATAAAATAGTCTTCAGCTGCTTTTTAAAGAATGAACGGATTCAATGTAGCACAAAGATAGAGAAAATGCCTTTATTGCCTTCCAGTGAGGTAATGTAGAATGTGACAGGAGCAAAAACACATTGACAGATGACACCCGACTTACGCTGTGCAATAAATATGAATAACAACCTAATTTAAAGGTAAGCTGCAAAACAGAAGAGAAGGAACTTAGAGGAAAAGAGAACCAAAAAAACTGTTCAATAGTTAATAGATGATAAGGCATTTTTAGGTGAAAATGCAATGCAAAGTTTAATAGAAGGGCAGCAGCCTATTGACAGAACGATGTAGAAAAAAAAAACTGTGCAATATACATAATTGTACAAATAATAAACTCCCAGAGAATAGAGCAATCCTTTCAACAATCTTGTGGATACAGCTATATGAGATATATCTCTCTTTATTTAATCTATTTTAAATGTGTTTGTGGAACCATTAATAGACTTTAATTGGAAGATTGTCAAGCGGCCAGAATAGGTGCAGGGTTATGGATGTTTAGAGATAAAAGCTGCAGTTTGACCACAGAAGGCTTTAAAAGAAATGACTAAATTAAAATCAACTTCCATTGGTTAAAATACTTGCTTTATGCAGCTTTATGAACTGACTAGAGGTGGTCAATATCATTTTTATTAGAAGACATTAAAAAAAGTGTGTTGCAATAACCAAGACAAGATTAAATTAAAAAGCATGATGATTTATTTCTAAATTTAGATTTTTACAATAGAGTTTGACGCTTAGAAATATTTTTAGCTTTCAAAAAAAAAAGTAGCTTTTAAATGAATTCACAACAATGGCCATGGCCTTAAATTTAGCTATTCGGTTCTTAAAGTAGGATTCTGCTGAATTCCCCTGTTGTTTAGGTTGTGGTCACAGAACAACTGTTTGATTCTAATAAAATAGTTTATCAAGAAGGACACCTTTAACTATTCAGTTTGCTATTCTATAAGAATAATTTCTTCAGGTTATTTTTTATATGAGCGGATCTTCCTGGACCACCTTAAGAATAACAATTTGTTAAAATAGTTTCCACTACAAAAAAAACTTTAGTAAATCTAGGAGATTTTAGCATGTTTCTTGTCATTTAGTGTTAATTAAATTATAATTAACAAATTTACAGCATTTAAAATACAAAATAGTTTTGTCGGGATAAAAAAAAAAAATGAAAGTAGGAAAGGACCAAACTGTAATAAATTTTATTTAATAATTGAATTTACTTGTCATTGCAAAAAAGTTACATTGATTGTTTTTTGAAATTATTGAAATTATTATTGGTGGACAGTAATAATAATAATAATAATAATAATAATAATAATAATAATAATAATAATAATAATAATAATAATAAAATATCTCTTTGATTTTATAATAAAATATCCCTTTGATTTTTGCAGTACAGCACCTTTACAGAAACTTATATCAGTAGGCGCCACACTTTTTTACACAATTTCCCAAGCAAATATTTTGTGGCAACTAAATAAGAGCAATGTTATGGCAAATTAACTCTCTCAGCTGTTTTTTTTTTTTGTTTGTTTGTTTTGTTGGTTTAAGATTGTTTTTGAATCTCTGTGTAAAATTCTCCTAACAGCAAGTTCAGTTAAAGCTGAAGCATTCCAGATTCTCCTTTTAGTTTGTCAACCTCAGTAGAAAGCCAGCACTATACTTACATTTATCCCACCTTTGCAGCTCATTCAATTATAAATTAAAACATATAAATAAACTCGTAAGAGTGCTGAGCAGAGCTAATGATTTTAAAAGGTCTTGGAAGGATGTGACTTTGCTTTTGGAGCCAGAATATATGGATTTACAGTCAGCTAATGCTTTTGTGTTAAGAGCTGCAATTATGGTTTAGCACCACTAGATGGCAGTCCTGGTCTTGGTTAGGCTATTTAGATCTCTGTTAGCAAAGTGTTTACTATGACAGAATGTGATATCAGTTCAATTCTTTTTTTTTTTCTGCTTACATTTTGGATTAAATTTGATAAGAAAAGAATATTGAACCTTTTGTAAAAGCATTTGATCCTAAATATTAAATATTAATATTAAATCCACTGGTACTTTTAGTGTTGATTCTACCTACCGGTATTCTCAGAAAAGTTATCCTTTCATGATTCTAACAGTTTTTTTTTTTGTTCTAGCTGTTTAAGAAATGAATTCAACACCAAGCACCAAGCATAGTAAAACTGAGTCCTGAAAAAATTGTAATGTGATTAATATAGCCTCAGGGAAAATTAGAATTTGTATTTGGAAGTCACTGTAATGATAAAAACTAATATTAATGTTTTAACTATTTAGGTAATCACATTTAAAGTTGCCTGTTTTGATTCTTTTATTTATTTTATCACCCAAGTTTTATCGCTTCAATTCGATCATTGATAACATCCACAGCGCAAGTTTCCCTTCTAGTTGCTTCTGTCCACACCTGCTCCCAATCAATTGATTACTCCATTCTTTGTTCTTTCTGGCATATATACTCCTCCTCTGCAGTTACTGTTTGCTGGATTGTCTTCATTCATTCATTCATTCTGACCCCCAAATTGGGTACCCCCGTGCTCGACCATAGTAACTGTTGCGCAAGTTGCCGCCATTTTTATCTCAGCTTTATATTGCAGGACCATCATTCACCACAGCTTATTTAATGTGATTTTCTGTAGTTATCGTAATTGTCCGAATGAGTATGCGTTGTACATTATTCCTGTGGTTAACAACAAATACTTAATGCAGATTTCCGCGCACATAAATGCTCTCATTGACTGAACAATTAAGGTTACTGTATAGGACTAAAAATAAAATATATATATATATGAATATTTTTTTTCTGATCCAGTCCTGTGTCGAATACAGACCCATCCAGTCCTTGATTGAGGACAACAGGGCAGGCTTAATGGCTTTGCCCATTAAACTGGGTTAGTTTTCCAAAAAACAGCCCTGAAAGTGGATCAAATCATTTACCAGGGATTAGTTTGAAAAACATAATGGATAACTTGAATTACCAAATTATTCACATTTGGGTTAAATAATATTTTTTTTATGTAGAGTTTATTTTATATTACATTTGATATGATAAAATAGTAATTTAATGTAATGTCAAATATGACGTATTAATAATTTATTAAATTAGAATGAAAATCATACTCATCATATAGCACTGTTGTTATGTTATTTCCTTTTCAAACTGAGATACCATTAGGGGGTTAGCAACTTAACTCAAGCCCACTCTGCTTTGGATGGTCGCTCTGCTGCAGAGTTGATGCAACCAACATGATGTGCACCCATGAATCACCTGTATGATGTTGCAGCTCCATCTTTTGAGCTTCCTTTGACCTTAAGTTGAGGCTATATAATGCAGTCTGCAGTTCAAACTTATTGCTTGTTTGCATGTGATTTATCATGTAGACAAACCTAGCAGGCGGATTTGCTCGATGCGCTTGCCTGCCTCACCGTGTCAGTGCCTGTGGGCCTGACTCTATCCTTCTCTATTTGGCATGCACATGCTTAAAGTACATGTGCATGCACACGAACCCCCCTCTAGAGGAAGCACGATCACCCTAACCTCAAATCTCCCCTTAAGATACATGAATAAGGCAGCTTATCATGTTCAACCTGAGGACAGTGCTTTAAATCCTGGCCATAGGGACATGGTTGTGTGCCATCTCCATGGTAATGAAGTGGCTCAGTGCTCCTTAGAGAGGTCAGTAGCATATTGATTATTACAGGATGTGTCTTTGCTAACTAGATCAGCACTTAACACACCTTGGTTAGGATTCAGGAGCTGTCCTGCTGTTATGAATACTGAATAGAAAAGTTTTGTCTTTGCCTTCAAAGTGCACCGCTTTTATAGACGAGATAAAGCTGGGGACAGTTGGAGTTTGAGATTTATTCTACAGCCTGGCTGCAGAGATGATAAGAAAATGCTTCCTCTGTATTATTCTGTCATGTTGCCCTTCACAAAGTCTTTGCAAACGCACATTTCTCATATAGAGATTTCAGTCTGCATTCAGTTATGATTTAATTCATATTCACCTGGAAATTATGTCTGCAGAATAAAAAAAAAAAACTGCCCTGTTCATATTAGGCATTACTATCTGGAAAGGGGTCAGCTCACCTGCTGTTTGTGTCGGGCCCCATTAGCCTGACCACTTGAGGGGGAGGGGGGAGCCCTGCTGCGTCTAGCAGGATGACTGATAGGTTTGCACCTGCCTGCCCTTCCAGAAAGATGACCACAGTGTGTTTTTCTGCCGTCTGTTTGATCCCAATACCAGGGCCTGCGTCTACGGCTTCACCAGACTCATGGTGCTTCTGGGACGAGCAGCAGATGGAGAGTTCTCCCTCACTGACTGCCTCCTGTTTGGTGCAATCATGTCAGCCACTGACCCCGGTAGGTATCCTCCTCAAAAAACCTTCACAAAAAAGTTTCTCTCTTCTACGTAACACAATGATATGGCTTTATAAAACAGCAACAACAAAAAAACACTATTAATTTAATAAATAATTTAGTAAATAATTAACAGTAAATCTGTAGCAGGAAGTGCCAGCAGGTTTAAATGTTGTATTTAAGGCTGAAACAATTAATCGGATTTATTGTGGTTAACTTACTGAAATAATTGTCAACTGATTTAGTAATTAAATAACGGATAACTGGACCTTACAGAGTCTAACACATGCCAGTGGCTGAAACAGAAACCCACTCAGAGCAGTAATTATGCTAAAAGTGAAAAAAAATATATAAAGCTTTTTTTTATGTGAGTATGCTCTATCAAGAACTACTCAAGTGGCGTAGTTTTAGCTTCGCTTGGTGTAAATTTTGTATAAAATCTAATTTAAGGCACCTGTTGCTATGATTATTACATTAATAATTGAAGAAATTATCAACAGATTATTTGATTACCAAAATGATTAATGATGAATTGATTTAGTCATCTTTTCCGAATCTTTAAAAAAATAAACATTTAGTCAGGAAAAATGTTTTAATTTCAGAATTTCATGTTTTGTTTTTATTAAAATACAAACCTCTGGACCTAATTTTATTTTTAATCCAGATTGCTAAATATAGCTTCAGTTTACTAAATGAGAAGTGGATGTTTGGGTGTTTTTTTTTTTTTTGTTTTTTTAATGACTATTTTGAATTTCAAACATTTTTATCTTTCAGATAATTTTAAAAGTATTTCTTGGAACCTAAAAAAAACAAACACCTTAAGTAAATAAAATAAATGCATCTATTAGTGATAAACAGACTTTAAGACTACACACAAGAGTAGGAAAATGAAGCTTTTGTCTGGTTTGGCAAAAGAAGCAAAATTGGTGTGATCAGTGGCGGAAAATGAGACAAGAGTAAATGTTTTGCTAAGAAGCTGAGAATCTCTGTTTTAAATATATTCAGTATTTATTGAGAAGACATTAACCTGCTAAACAAAAGGCCTGTGCGTTGCAGCAGCAGACTTTACTGGTGTCACTTTAACTTGTTGACCGAAGAAGTAAACGTCTGCAAAACCTCTGTATCAGTGTGTCCTGGTAAGAGGTAAGAGTTTTCTGCCACACTTTTGTCTTTGTAAAAACTGGAAAGGGTTGCTACATTCAATGCTTTGGGAATTTTTCTCTTAGGGTTCATCATGAAATTACTTTACTTTGACAACAAACCGTTATTAATACCAATATGTGATCTCAATGAGCATCAGAGGAAAGATTTACATTGTGGTTCAGTTGTAGCACATGAGGGCCAGTACTTTGCAATGCCACTCTGTGCACATTCGATTTGACCCCAGTGCACTCGTCAATGTGATGAGACTCAAACTAAATGCCTACAAAGAATCCTTAAAAATGCAAGATCCATAGGCTTTGTATCCTGCTGTCAAAATATGAAACAAACTCATGGACCTTCTTGCATAACATTTCACCTCCCTACTCTAATAAAATCCTGCATACATTTTATATTCTGGCATTCAAGCAGGTTTTACATTTTACCATATAAGGCAATTTTTTTCTTTCTTTTTTTTTATTTTCTTTTTAACAGTGTCCTGTCTGGCAATGTGGCAATAAGAATAATTTTCTTGATGCCAAAAAGAGCCCAACAGATTTTACTTTCACAAGTGGAGCAGTACGGCTATCGTCATAGTGTTCCGCTTGTTTCATGCATATAAATTGCTTTATTATAATAATGCAAGGAGTTTTACAGATCATATGGACACTGCAATGTAAGTAGAACAGAAGAGGAAAAACAGAAAAAAAGGAGAAAAGATGAAAGAAAGAGGATAAAACTTTTTCAGTCTGCTTCATCACCTGCAAAGAGATGTAAAATGAACAGCATAACCAACAGACATGGTACAGTACAAGACATACAACAAAGTAACACCAGAAAAAAAAAAAAAAAACTCACAGTCTCAATAAAGCTAAGGCAAATTACACATAATCAGATTTTGCCCATTTTAGAAATATCTTACCTCTTAAAATTTCTATGCATTTTATAAGGGATGTAATTGGATTTTAGGATTCCTTATAGTACTGTGCACTCTAAGAGTAGATTGGTCAATCAAACAGGATCTGTGCCACACGTTTTATAGAATATACGTAGATACCTATTAATTAATATGCAGATACTTCATGTGCAGTTTGGTTGGTGAGATTACAAACTATGTGATACTCAGACTTCTGAAGAAGCAATATCTACAACAAAGTGTGACAAAATGAACCACTTTATTTACTCGCTCCACTATCACCTGTCAACAAGATTAAAGGAGACTGAAAAGAATATTTGGGCACACTCAGCACCGTGTCCGTGCACCGTGTCTCTATATGCAACTAAAGGATATACAGCCCATTTCTGCAGCCATGGAGCCAAATAAAAAGGAGAGCCTGGTGGGGGTGTTTCCACAGGAGCTGGTGGAAACAACATGACCTCTGCTGCTGTTTGCAGTAAAACATGATTGCTGACCCTGAATGTATCTCGGGTAAAGATACAACTATTCACTTATATTCACCATGAAATAATGAGATTCCACTAGAGACTGTTATATGAAAAAAAAAAAAAGTTTGAACATATTGGAAGGTCCTTCAAATCACTGCATTGTTTCTCGTTTCTGTAGCCCATCCAATTCTACATGCTGACTGAAATAAAAAAAGCTTGGCATACAAAAACGGGAATATATAACACATTTACTGGTGCCAGTAAATCTTATCTTCAATATTTTATGCGCTGATTCTAAACATGAAATTGTGCGTTGTTTAGAGTTCTAAAAAGAAAGGAACCATTGCAATCAATAATTACTGAACATGTGTTACATTTTATACAATGCAAACAAGGATACACGCATATACAGTTTTACTCACAATAAAGCACAGATATACCATTATATCTACACAGTATTAATAAGTGAATTATTAATACTAACAGAAAAAAGGTGAAGATCCAGGAAAGGTCAAGGATGATGCTCTATGTTACAGTGTCCACTCTTAAAAAGAGGTTTTCTTTGGTTTGTTTCAGTTTAGATTTGGCTTCTTGTTCCATAGTTTTTGAATTATTAAAATCATTAAATTAATATGTTGTGTATTTGTATTATAAGAATTTAGTTAAAAGCCTTTAAAAATATTTAACCATTACAGCCCTTGATCATTAAATACTTCACATCTTTATTACTAATATTTTCGGTGTCCATTTTTATCCGACCCCCCCCCCCTTTAAAAGCTCAGGAACCCCTATTAGATCTCCACACATAATTCTGTGGTGCCGCTACTGTTCCAGATACATCTATTTGTAACTCCTACATCCTGGTCTTAGTTCCTTTTTTCACCTTTTGCAGGATCATTAATAAGAACATGATCCAGCACAGGAGAATAATTTTGGACTGCTGTGCTGAATCCGAACAGGCTTCATTGTTACAGACATCATTAGTTGATAGAGACACGTATGGATGATGCAGGACAAATCAGGAATACTGCCATTTAGAAAAGAAGAACATGACTTTAAGTTACACACCTGTAACAAATCATTGAATGCATTTTAAAAGGTAATTCATGGAATATGGAGATGCATACGTAAGCATTTTTTTCACACAGAATACATATAAAAATGTAATTTTGTCTAATTGCATGAGGTGGAATGTGCCTATAGGTCCTGTCATTAACTACCGATAGGAAACATTCTGCATCCTCTTCCTACCTCCTTCCTCACTGCCAACGCTATTCAGATAGAACTTATCATGGTGACTGCTGACACACTTCCTCTTCAGCGGAGTGGTAAGTGTCCATACCAATTTGCAGTATTCAAAAGCAGCCTAAGACATCACATCATTCTGAATACATCGTCCTCACAGAGGCATCTGGTTGCAGCATCTTCCTGCTGTAAGGCTTTTTTTGTGAGCATGGGGAAGTTAGATTTCATGGGAGATGACTGTACCAAAGTATAAGTAAAAGAAAGTAAGATATGACTGCTTCAGGTTCATTCAGAATTAGTATATATATATATAAAATTTGATGTTATTAAAGGCACAGAAACATCAAGCCAATGTGTTCTAGGTTTTGATGAGCTGAACTGTTCCTATCTCACTGCTTTCCTGAGCTTGTCAAAGCTCTTACATAAAAAAAAATTAATTAATGTTTCCCTTTTTTTCTTATCGATTATCTTGTGTTATACATCCAGGATAAAATCTTTTTTATTTTATTCAAAATAGAAATTATATTAAAAGAGGCTCTTAGTCTTGAGAGAAGACCTGTAATCTTTAAGTTGGCAGTAGGGATAAACACATTTTTAAATCTCATTTGGACATCATGAAGAATGTGCTGAGATACTCCTTCTTTGTATGCATCAATTGATCTTACAAAATCCCCAGTTTTGTGCTTAGTCAAAGTGTTCTTCCCAGATTTAAATGCAAGACCAATGATTAAGATCAAAAAGTGGGAGTCCTGCTGTGCTGCATTTGTAGCCTCAGGGGTGGTTAGCAAAGGTCAGTGAAGGTCTCACTTAAACTGAGTGTTTTGCTGTTTCACAATTATTCCTGTTATCTGTTTTTATTTTTTCTTTATTTTATTCACATAAACAGTACAAACATTCACTTTTGCCTGGCCATTACAAACTTCTAATTCCTGTTCGACTATAGAGATTCCTCAAACCTTAGTTTGAAAAAGAAAATTTTACTATAGAAAAAAACTGTAGTGGAAGTTACTAGAAAAAAATGTTACTCGTAGAAATATATATTATTGTGTGATCACTCTACCCAGAATTCCAGATGTCATCATAAATTCAATCTGAACATTTAAGCAAAACAACAGGACCTTAGTCACATTTGTGCTTGATGTCAGACTTTTACATTGGCACCTAACTATCCAGGTTTTAGACATTATGCTGAACCACAGCAGGGATTACAGCAGGACAAAAATCTGAAACCC